GGGAAGGATTCGATTTGGGGTTTTCGTTGAAACGTGAGCAGGAAGAGGCTCTACGCTCATTTTTTTTTAAAAAGGACATATTCGCCGTTTCACCGACAGGCTCTTACTAAGTCAGAGGCGCTCATTGGTCAGAGCGTTGGCCAATAGGAACAGACATGGTTTGAAAAACAACGAGTTGTTCTCATCAACAATCTTCCGATTTCTCATTCATCAAATTAAACATTTAATCTCACATTTAGTCTGGTTTATCAGGCTAGATTTTTATAACAGGGATAACTAGAATCATACATAGTTTTTAAGTACTATGTTTGTTCTCTACCTCCAAACTCAGCATCTCTTCATCCAGGCCTGAGATGAGAAGGTTCTTTGAAAGTTGTGAGAGGCGCTCTTGGGCGTTTTGACTGAAATTTTTAAGCCTCTTCGTATAAAAATTTTTTTTTTTATCACAATGAGAAATCTGCTTCCTGGAATGTTGAAGTACAAAAAGTTAGCATCCAATCATTTATTTATGGTCTTAGTTTTTGGGAATAGGTATATAAGCTCACAAATGACTCTGGAATGGCTTGAGAATGGCTTTGTCGTCATTCAAACCCAGTTTTAAAGCCTTGCAGGGCAGCATAAAGTCCACTGCTCTCCTTTACCCTTTACAGGGCAAGTTACTGTTTTTGATCCCTTGCAAAACCCTTACAAATGGAGTCCCAGTTAATCAGTGAGGTCTAGAAGAACTAGATCTATATCCAGCCATTCAGCAAAGACACTGCTACATGGCTTTACATCTTATTTTGGCATTTGACCAATTACATGAGCCCTTGAATGATATATTACCTAACAAGTCAAGAAAAAAAAGGTAAAAATCTAATTGAAAAGTTAAAAAGTTAACTTAAAAAGTCAATAAGACTAGTTAATAATTATATTTATGTTCATAAACTTAAAAAATGTAAGTGCCAGTATCAGCATTACTGCCTCTGAGGTTATGTTGGACCACATAAAATCTGTTTCTTTCCTTCTCAAATGGTTTTTGATGAATTTCTTAAAGAAGCACTTTTGTTATTTTTTTCTTAATATATTCAGGTGAGTTGAAGTTTCTTGTTATTACATTGAAATTAACTTTTGAAATCAAATTATGCATATTTTTTAATGTTACAAAGGTCTTGTCCTGCATTCCAATGACACTATTCGCTTGAAATTATGATTTAGTATTTCACTGAGTGCCCTATAACGGGTTAAGCCATAAAAAAGAAAAGAGATCAGTTCAGGTGTTTTATAAAATATTTGAATCAGGAAATTGTTCATAAACCAAACTGAACTATTGTTGTTCTCTACTTTAAAAAAAACACTTTAGATTTAAAATGGACAATTTAACAATTTTTTTATTATTTAAAAAATGAAATGTATAACATGAATGCACAAAAACCTAATTTTATTTCAGTGTTAAATTCTGTTGAAAGTAACAGATAATAATTAAAAATGTCTCTTTACTGGTTGATTATTTTCTTTATTCAGACCCTGCTGATTTTTAATTGTGACCCCTGATCTAGTGTGTTTAGATTTTGAGGAAATTGGTGCTCTTTGAATTTCAAAGAACAGAATGTTCTTAAAGCTGAAACTTTAGGCAAAACAATTATGAGCAACAAAGAAAAATGGCAGGACCAAAACTCTCATTTACATGTTTCCATTATGCTTGTGAGAAAGAAGTTTATAATACTGAGGTAATAATTATGCAATTTAAGGAATAAATTAGTATATATTTTTTGTCTATATATATAAACTCTCCAGCCTTTTAACAGCGATATAAGGGGCATGTTATCCAGACCTAACTGGTTTTATTCCCTCCTCGGAGCTGTCACTGTTTGTTGTTGTTAGCTTCATTAGCCGGGAAGCTAACCGGCTCTCAGAGTGACAGTTGAACCGTTGAGCAGGACGTGGCAAACTACAGAAGCAGCGATAGAGAGGCGGTTTACCGCAGTCTGCAGCGTAGTCCTCCCACTCGGACAGCGAACTGCATCCCTGCTTGTGGAGCTCGTTGTTGAACAGCGTGAGCGTGGAAAAGAACTCCGTGGAGATGATTCCGCCGCACAGGTAGAGCAGAGAGAGCGCTGCCACAGCAACAGCCCGGCTGACAGGGGCCATGTTCGGCTACATGAGTGACGGAAGCTGCTGCAGTCAGAAGCCCCGCAGTCACAGAACTCATCGAAACTACAACAACCGAGCACCCCTGCTGTGCGTCAAACCCGGCTTTCCGGTATGACGTCAGAAATGAGCGTTTCCTCTGAAATATTTCAAAATAAAATTTACATTTTTTTTATTTACGTCTCGAAGTATTACACTTTTTTAAAACACAGTTTAAAAAAAAATGTATATCCGTGCCACTTTTAAAGATTGCTACAGAAATATTGTGAAACAATCTATTTCTTTTCTGTAATTTGCATGTATATATTTAGCCTTCATTATTACAAAACAACAAAAAAGGGAAAT